CAGGATTGAACCGTCTTCCTTCAATCGTAGAGACCCCTGCCATCCGCATGTATCCCAGCGTGCCATCAAAGCTGGACGGTAGTGACATGGGCGCACCTGCGGCCGCACGGTCGATCGCGGTCGACTCAGTACAACCTCCAAACTCGTGACGGAGCGTTCTTGGCGGAAAAGGCACAGTGACTTCGCAACCTGCTTCGTTCGGAAAAAGCACAGTCACAGGATCTGAGATCCGATGCTCTTACCTCTTCTATATATGGACAAAGGCCATTGTTCTTAGGTTGGAGGCCATCGCAAGTAGGTTGGAAGCCATCGCTATTCTCCACATCCGCTCGCGCCTTTGGAGCCGCCGGTGAGTAGCAGCTCTGAGAGCTTCATGGCGAAGCTCAAGTGGAGGTGGAAGGAAGCGATGGGGAACGGCTCGGCAACCGGACAATTCAACACAGCAACTTGTTCACTCGGGTACAATGGTACAAACCATGATTAAGCATGAATCGAAGACTCAATGATGTTAACTATAAAGATGCTCTGCTGAAGAATCGAAACGATCAACAACCATCATTTCTCCATGATTGTCCTGTATCTGGCTTCCACGAAGAGAGATTTCCAGAATCTTGTATAACGATGTCAGCACCCAGCGGGCTGCGCGTGGAAGCCAGTGGAATCCACATGATTGTTCACATGATCTTCATTCTTCTCCTATATGTACTCAGCAATGTGACTGTAAGCAGAAGTCAAGAACACTGCATTGCAAAGTATACCTATAGAGGGAACTGGCTGCCCCCTTGTTCTTTCGGGGTGTGGGGAGTCCGGGGGTTTCTTAACATAAAACACAACCAATGGATCAGTCCAGTGTTTGCTCCACAGCTTGCTATCTCAGACCCCGCTTGCTATCTCGGTGTTTGAGCCAAGCGATGTGCACTGAACACTCTCAAAAAACACCGGCATGTAGGTGATATGCATACCACTTCTGTGTGAGATTTGGGGGTCATTGGGAATATCTCCTATGGGCATGGGAATCCTCAAGTGATCAACCCGGAGTCGTCAGTCCCATATTTCCAATGTTCGGGGGAACTGGTTAGGGGTTGTCATTCCTAAACACGAGCCCAAACCCTCAAGGGAGGATGTCTATGAACCAACCCAGCTGCAAGCTGCAAGGACGTTCCAAACTCCTAATGTCAGCTTCCAAACCACCGATAGACATCGATGAAAAGCTACACTGACCTTCAAAATATGCCCAATCCACTGAAATGGTAACACGAGCTTGAAACAAAGGCTATTTGTCGCTCCAAGGTGTACATTTCACCCGCCAAAAGGATGGAGATTCCAACTCAAACAGTTCAAACATTCAAGAGCCGCCAGGAGTCTCAGCCCAATCCACGCATCCCAATGGCCCTACGTCCGTCTTGGTCCGTCTTGGTCTGCCATTGTCCCGTCCATCTCAACTCGTTGCCTGAATCTCCTCACTGAAGCGTTGCCGGAGCCGCTCCAAGACCCTGGCATGTGAGCCGTTCATAGACCAGGTCCAGTGCACGTCCACCATTTTTGGAACAGGAGCACATGTCTAGCTAGTGGACTAGCGGCGCTGCCCATCGACACATGTGGGATGATCCACCTTGGGACCTCTACTCACCAAATGTTGCGAGTCTTTGGTTTGGTTTCCAATGGTCCTCAGTGCTGTCCCAGGGTCTCCAATGGCCCTGGTTCTGCGCAGCCCGACATCACGTGGCTGGTGATGCGCCTGACTCACTACCACTTTGGCGTTTTCCTCGCAAGTGACCCCACAAACAATGGAAGAAACATGGGGAAAGGACAGTAGGACAAATGCGTTTCTTTTTAATCTCTAGCACCGAAGCTCTAGCACCTCTAGTGTTCTATAGTACAGCTTGGATAGAAGGTTCTCAATATCACGGTCTATCAACCCTCACACACCAGCTCATCCTTTTTTTCGGCGTCAGGTCATGGTCTCCCGGAGCATCCGGTAGAAGAGCTCCATGTCCACCTCCCGGGCAAGTCGTACGACCATCGAGTCGTTGGGAGACGCGGCGGCGAGCAGCTAAGCTGCGGGGAGGATCTGCAAGTGACCAGCTGGATCTCATATATATATATAGCTATTGTTATATGAATATTGAATTGCTTATGTTGAAATATGAACAGGCCATATTTTCTCCTGACTATCTTGTTGTGCAGGGAGAACGACATGAGAACGACATGACATCGCGTGTTTCATGGTGCATGACGGCGTGATCTCCTAAACCGAGGAGTTCGGGAAACCACGCTCCGGTGGAGTGTTGCTCAAATGATGAACCCTAAACATATTGAACTGATGTGTGTGTGGATGGATGGAGTCAAGACGATTAATGAAGGAAGACTGTATATCCAACCTTGACATTACCTTGACTTATGATGTATTAAACATAATCAGAAATAACATGAAGCATGAACTAGTCTCACTATAAAACACACACAAACCAAACCATTGGTAGCCGTGACTTGACAGTATCCTACGCATTCCGGTGTAGCCCAGTGGTTCGGCGGGGAGGTGTGGGATGAGGATGCAAAGATTTGTTCATAGGTATTTAATGGTACCAGTCCTGTGCTTGCTACTTTGTTTGCGAAAGAATCCCCTTAGATCCCCGTTGCTTAGATCCTCGTTGAACACGGGACCTTAGATCCCCAACTGCCAACTCATGAAACATCAACACTTACTGTCGTTGAAAAGCTGAGAGACGGAAAAACGGTGAGATATGAGAAACACTACGATATCTCTTTTTTAAACGGGAACATCATGTAGTATAAGGATGCAAATCATTCGGAAATCTCGGAAGGCTCGATACATCAGTTCAAAACACACACTTCATTTAACTGTATATATATATATGGAATATGTATATAAACATTATAAATATACATATATATATGCTTATATATGTAAACAAAGATTCAAGGCAGGAAGCTGTTCTTTTGTGGATGTGCTGTTCTTTTCTTCTTTGATGTTCAGTGTTTCTTATTTAATTGCTTGATCCAGAAATCCAATTCTTCTCAAAGATCAATTTTGACAAATCTGCAATTAAGTAGTTTGTGTTTCACGGTTTAAACAGGGGTTCCTGGCTCAAACACAACATTACGTGTGTGTATAGGACATCCAAAGTAAACCAAAACACATGTTAAACCCACCTGATGATCTCTTTGTTCAAACTGAATGAAACTGTTATAGGAGCTCTGCTCAGTGCTCAGTGATGATATAAAATGATCTGTCTTACCTCTACCTTGTTTGCAACGAGTGTTGTTACAACCATTTGGCTATAGGTCAATCTATGTCTACTGTTTCATTCTATACGAGGTCATATATTATGAATGATATTGACATGTTATGGATTTCTGGTGCTCAACTACTGAAAGTGACATCAACTTGTAGCAATCGGGATCAATTGGTATTGAGGTTACATTCCTGCAGCTGCAGGAAGTACAGGGATGTGGTTGCCACCGCTTTTGCTGTGTGCAGCTTTGGTCAGTGTGTTGCCCCCTTCAGAGGCAACCATCAATGAATTCGCATCTTCAAGTACAAGGTGTCACAGTTGTCTTGCCTGAAGTACAAACCTAGAGCGCCCAGGGGAAAAAAACAAACAGGAACAAGGTGGAAACCAATATATATACATCTAGTATATATAATTGAAAATCAAACCATGTTGGAAAGGATGATGCACCTTTATTGCAATTGTGATAATTGTGCAGCTCTAATAAATCAAACAGGTTGGATGATCACCTCAGCGACTTGAGGATGTAACCCATCTGCTGAGACTCCAAATGACGGAAACTTCAATGCTTGTGGTGAACTGTGCCTCGAGTAGGACCAATGTAAGGTCAAGAAAAGATAATTTGACTCCAAGAGAAGCGAGGACAATTTATCAACTGCTACAGGGTATTCGGTGCAATCCACCTTCCAAAGTTTGTAGAATCAAACACCACCGGAGAACCACCCCTTCTGTTGGTGGGCACACGTAAGCCTTGGACCATGGATTCCCCATCACGGTATAGAGATGACCATGTCTTCCATCATCAAGAGGTGGGTGCCCAATCCCCAATATGTCCCATTCATTCTTAAAATTCTTCAGGGATTGAAGGAGGAGTCAGGATGACTGAGCGTGCTTGTTCTCGATGCAGGTTCCACATGCATGATGTGCATGCCACTTCGACGGAAAGGAAGGAGAACACAAAGCTCTGCGAACTGGAGGCAACTGGAGTCTCAGGAACCTACAAGAAAATGCAGCATCTTTGGCTAGTCTTGCTGATTGCGCGCACGCGCACGCCTTCGCGTCTGCCACCTGCCTGGCAAAGCTAGGGGATTCAAAGGTTCATGGAAGGACCCAGGTAGTCTTCCATGGCATTCAGAGGTGCACATGTCTGCTATCAGGTCTCAGTCTGTAACAGTAATGTTTCATCTCGTCACAGCCTGCGGCGGGAGTCATCAGTCTGCAAGTGGAAAAAATATCGGAGCCTTCTCACCTTGCCCAGGCCGTTCGTGTTCTGATCTGGAGAAAAGGCAAGTCTCTTAGTGCTAAAGTGGCACACGCAACGTCGTCAAGCTCTGTACATGCGATCATCCTCAAATGGGTCATGAGAATAGTAGGGGAATAATGGGGAATTCACCTTCCATGGTTGAAGGTCTTCTTTGTTGAGACACTCATATGAAGACTGATGAACCCTAGACTCTAGAAATGTGATGTCTGCACATTTGAGGGTGATCTCGTACTCTACTAGTGCCTCAGACCTCCAAATGCTGGCGTGCCAACAATAGGCCAAATTTTTGGGTATACCACTAACAGGTGTCAAATATGGACAAACACACATACTTGATCCATCCATCGGAACTTCAACATTTCAAGGTCTAAGGTGTTAAGGATTGAGCGCATTTGCCGTCGTATGCTTTGGTACAAGGCTCGCAGTAGCCAGCCATCATTCCGCCAGAAAGTCTTGGTCGCGTGCCTCTCCGGCCAACGTGCAACAAGTAGATGTCACTGATGTCACCCCTTGTTCAACAAACACGCACACTCTGCCGAAGGGGTATGGGAAGACATTCTGAAACAACAACTGACAGGTGGATCACAACCACCACTTGTATGGTACACTCGTATGGTACCGCATGTCCGGTGAGTGACCAAGGACCTCACCAGTCAGGATGGAGTTTGGGTTTTCGTCTCTTTTCGTTGTCCGTTTTTGTCATGAGAAGACCCTTTCGTCTCTTTTCGGAAAGCCTCGCTGCACCAACTACTCCGGACCGTTCCGAGCCTGGCGGTATCTTCCAAGTCTCCAAGCGACTAAGGCCAAGGAGATGAAGAGCAGCGCCACCATTGACAGCGAGGATTGGACACCTCTGCCGGTGGCTTCACCCCCTTCCCAGGCCACCCAGCGAAAAAAGAAACTCCTGACCTGGTCAGGTGAAGTGAAGAGCACTGAAACGTGTGGTACTACGGTACAGTATAGGCCCATTTGCTCATTGAGTTTGGAGAACGGAGCTGCTCAACGTCTCACCAATGAGGCTCAATGTCTCACCGTGACTCACCATGCAAAGTCTAAAAAGACCTGGGCGCCCTCTCCTTCCTTTCAAAGTGAAAGGGCTCAATGTCTCACCAATGAGGCGCCATCCTCAACGAGCCCTCGTTTTCACATCCCTTCCTTTCGTGCTGTCACGAAAGGAAGGGATGTTCATCCCCCCACTCTTGGGTGTGCGAGGACAGGCTGAAGCAACGTTCTCCAGTTCGTGCAAGTCTTGCAAAGAATGAAAGACTTGGAGTATGCCTAATCAACCTCATCAGGTGAAATGCCTTTTTGTTATCTTTTCAGTTGCATTTCTTAGGCCCACTACGGTCGGTTAAGTTTAGCTTGTTATAAATTCTCACTTGGCACCTTTCCCCGCTCAGGCATCACCACAAAAAGGCGATGTGCGCCGTTGAATTGCGGTCGTCGCGCCTGGGCCTGCTAGCTTCGGCCGGAGCTCGTACTTCATTTGTGCGAGGCAGCCCTGCTGGCGGTGCTCACAGCACCACCTGAGGGGCTGACGGTCCCGCATCTCGCCACCCGAGGGGCCAGCGTGATGCTCACGTCTGACGGTCCCGCGATGCTCACACGTGCATCACACGTGCGTCCCGCGGGTGCCGACCAAGGCGCTCTTGCTGCTCATGGTTCCAGTCGCTCCGTTGGCCGTCGCAGTTGTAGGGACAGCCATAGCCCCGGTGAGCGCCTGGGTGCACCCCGTGGAAAACGGTGGTTCCATGTGGGAAACCAAATGGTTCCCACAAGATTCTCCAAGCAGGTCTGGGATGGTCTGGGTCTCCAACCTTGTGAAAAGAAGAGCTTCAATAGGTCGAGTTCGAGTTTCCCTCTTCTTCGGGCACTTGCATTTCTTCACTCGCACTTTCTCCTGGCAAGGTGCACCTATATATAACCAGTCCGAGATCCACATAAGGCATATACGATGTACTAGTATAGACCACAAGTTAATAAAGCTAAGCCATTTTGTTAAATCCCTTTTCGCTGCTTGATAAGCTTGCATATCTAAAGCTAGCTTCTAGTGTTCTCTTGTTCTTTTGCGTTTTGGATATGTTGCTTCTTTGCTTGCTGCCCAATTCCATCCAATTCCCACAATCCAACATCAATAAAAATCTTCTAAGTCCCTTTGGTGACCCTTTCAGCAAATTCCCTATTCCCAACACCAAATCACCAAGCAAATCCTTCGCCAAGATTTCGCGGTTTCACCATAGGTGGACATCAAAGGGTCATTCCCTCAGCCTCATTGCTTCATCTGGCAAACCAGCTTCACCAGACCAGATCTGGCTAAGTTCCAGGCAACACCAATGTGCTTTGCTGGGCGACCAGGCCTCCTGCACGTTTCCGCGACACACGCGACGCAACGCGACGCATGGAGCCAGGCTCCTTGGGCATGGATCCATGGATCGTACGGGAGATCTGATCGGACGGGCTTGAAGTGCTAATTAGATTCTTAGATAGGTTTAGAGTTGCCTCGCCTGCGAGAATGCCGGATGCCCCCACGACCCTGGAAAACCCAAAGAATCTATTCGATCTGACAGTGACTGACAGACTAGACTGACCAGCAAAACCTCTGGCCACCTTTCTTGAACCCCTGTTGATACATGTGTGTTCATTGCTGCCAAATCTGCATGCCCTCCATCAGAAAAGCTTTCTTGACTTTTCATGCCGGATTAAAATAGCAACTGCTTGACTTCAGCCAGCTCAGGCTCTATAACAGCGGCAGCTGTTTCTCCTTCCAGTGCTTCACACCAGCCCTGGCCATCAGCCGACGTGGAGGGCGTGATTTGCGGAGAACCGGACGCTCTTTTTCCAGCGGTGGTTCGCATCATCTTGGAGTTGCAAAAACCCAATCACTTCATGAACCTTCACCGTTCCAATAGACGACCTCTAACGGGGTATCCATACCTGCTTCATCATGTTTCCTTCACCTGGTCTCTTTCAGCTCTGCTGTTTACTCGTCGAAGACTACTTGTGACCTGGAACCTGGAGAGTCTTGAGGCATCTTCTGAGACGAAACAAACACACACCTGCCTAGTCAGCTACCTCACACTCTGGCGTTGCAGAGTTCCTCTGGTATCGCGTATATGTTGTAAGTTGTGACACGCGATACCTGTCTCCTGACCGAATCACATGTGCCGAAACATGTTTGTTGTCACACATGTTGGCTGCTTAGTGGGAGCTATAATCACATCACCCATGCAAACAAGCCGTCTCAGTGCCATATGTTCAGGAGCGGTCTCTGAAAGAGTTCAACAACCCACGCAAAAAAAAAACAAACAATAAACACACCTATTCACCTATCTTAGCAAAATACCCGTTGACAATCCTGCATTAATATATATTATATATATTTATTTTTCATGGAGTGCCGTGTCCTTCGTTTCAGTACACCCCGGCACCCAACGGAAGCGCCCCGAATGGGGTTCACCTGCAGTCGAACTGCTGGCCCGATGGATGGACGGTGGTGGTCTCAACCTGAGCTATGAGGCTGAAAGAGCCTCTTCAGCGAGAGAGAGAGAGAGAGAAGAACAGGAAAAAAAGGCAACATTGAGCCTACAACTGGGATGACAAAGACATATAATTCACACTGCCGACAAAAAAGCTGTCTTCAGGATGTTTGCAAAAGAAGGCATAGCATCTATCAAACAACTAGGTCTGTCAAAAAACCAGGTCTGTCAGACTGGTGACGACTTGTAAGGAACATCAAGACCCACAAAAAGTGAAAGCAAACATGTTTCCCTTCAGGATCATCCATCCAGACCCTCAGTCAGTCCGTCAGAAGGGATCTAGATCCAGCTGGCAAACATGGTGATACAGTACCGCCCTGCTGGCATATTTAGAATCCTCTTGATTGCGTGCGATCCTTTCGAACACTTCGACAAAATAACGTCGGATGAGCTTGTTGCTTTCAGCACAGCGTGGTGCTCCACTTCTCGGGATACAACTCGGAAAATGGATGGCCTTCCCTCCCAGAACCGAAACTGCTTGATCACCAGTTTTCAAGAACTCAACATTCCGATCAAAAATGGAAACCCGACTCGGCTGCTGTGCAACCCTGTTGTGCCCAACCCTGCGCCCGGCTCCCTTTTGTCCTTTTTGTCTGCCAGCCCAGAACTGAAGCTCTTGGCCGCAACAAACAGGATGATCCAGGTGTTCAAACGACCAGTTCTGTGAGTCCCAAGCTGCAATTCCTGGTCGGTGAAAAACGACCAGTTGAACGCATTCAAGTCACGCTGAGTCAGGGGTGATATCAGCGGTGTCAAGGCTCAATCAGTTTCCGCGATTGGTCAACAAAATACTGACCAGCCAACGAGTCAGCCCAAAGCGCACCCCTAACTTGCCCCCAAACTCAAAACGAGAAGAACCATCGGGAATTTCAAAGGGGTTTACTCTACAATCCTGTAGTGAGTGGAATGTGGAGAACCGAGAATCTACAGTATATCCATTGACCAAACAACTCCAAAGAAAGCGCCCAGGCTCGTCACTGGCTCCGGGTAGTTGGGGCTGTAGGTGCAGGACTTTGGGCGCAGTTGCAGCTGACCGCGATGGACCTTTGGAGTCGGAAGCGTCCGTCACGTCTGCCGTTTCACAAGCGATCATCCGGAAGTCCGGACATCTCTCAAGACTCTTAGCACCATGGGAAAGACCATCTCTTGTTAGTTGGTACTCCAAAAGAGGGATCAATTGTGGTTTAGGTGTGATGCATCATGATGATATTGATGAGAAATATTGATACACGATGTCCCCTCAATTTGCGCTGATCTCATTTGGGACACTTCGGGCAGTCCCAGTTGGTATCCTTTTTGTAGGCACCTGATGATCAGCATACAACCTTGTGCATTTCTTGTATATACATGTGCTTATATTTACTTCATTCACTGATAGATGTTGCCCATCATGTACCTGTTATTATGACAACATATGACAACAAACTAGTTGGTTGATATGCATTGAACCCTGAATGAAACAATCCACTGACAGGTCTCCAGGTGGCACGAATCAACCTGACAACTTCCTGCTGTCCGGCCAAACAGCTTCAATCCAATTCATCACTGTTGTGACTACATGATACTACATGATTCCCAACTAGGACATACTAAGAAATACCTACAAAAACAGTCCGATATCACCTTGATCTGTTTATCCATCCCATCACAACATGCCTTCCATCCGCCATCGCCATCTGGCCACCGAGCTGCCCAGTCGGTACCACGGTGCTCCCGGAGAAACTGCTCCACAAGGCGCTGGCGCCACAAACGCAGCGGCTCTTGCATGGCCGGCAGCGCCGAGAGGTCGCGGCGCTCCTGAGGGTCCTGGCCGCCGGCGAGGCGCCATGGCACGTATGCAATACATCATCGACACAAATCGAGTATCAAAGTCCTCTGTCAAATTGAAGATCTGTTCTTGACCACTGTGAGCATTAAAGATGTACTTCACTTGCCCATCACACAGCGCGTTCCAGTGGTTCTCAGGACTGTAGCCTCAGGAGTCGGCACGATGCTTTCTACACGAGTCTAGGTCTCGCCCAGGCCGATGCTTTCTACCACGAGTTTTGTGGCGGTACCTCTAGCTTGCCACATGGCTGTGAGTCGCACCTTAGGGAACCCTGGGTTTTTCCCAACCGATCAACACAGTTGACAATCTGGTTTCGGTTGTTCATGGCTGATGCATGCAAAGCTTGAAGCGGCTGATGTGGAGCTGCAAAGCTGGTTGATTCCCACAAACCTTACACCATAACCATGGCACCAATGGGTTTAGGACATGTTCGAGCAGGTTCGGTGTCTGCTCGGAGGTTCATTCTGAGAAGGTATACTCCCTGAAATCATCATGGAAGTGAACACCACCTGTTTGTAGAGAAAAAAACATGGTCATCCAGCAATGATTGTTCCAGGGTGTAGAACGTTGGATCCCAAAAAAGAACTTCAGCTTGGCTGCAAACATCATGCTCCAAGTCCACCCATTGCCGCCAGCTTCTTGACTCGGACGAATTGGACAGAAGCCACGTTAGGGGGCGCCCATCGAAGTGCGATTCATCCTCTGCACTCCTGGAGAGTGGCCAACCACGACGAAGAGAAACTAATATGGTCAGTGGAAAGCAATAATACATACTCAGTACTGCAAACGTAGGACAAGCTAGATGACCACAAAAACATTGGTACAGCTTTGCTCTGTAATAACCGCCTTTGATCTGCATTCGGTGCCATTGTGCCCAAACCCTTTATGAAAGCCACAACCAATCTGTCCCTTGTTCACTCCCTTTGTTCTCGAAGTATACATATTTTCGCGTTCTTACCCGACCAATCCCTCATGACTCATCCCATAAGTATATATGATATATCAATATATAATATATATCATATAAATCCCCGTTAGAATTAACAAGGTTGGGTTGGGGATCCAATTTAGTAAGGAATTGCCTTTACAAAATGAGTGTGCATGCATATAGGCTTACAAAATGATAGGATTTGGAGGAATAAACAGACTACAAAATGATTGGATGTACATCTAGAATCTTATTATTCTCTTACTAAATTGATGGGACCAACCCAACAAAAAATGATGACTGTACCCAACCCTGGGGCTAAAGTTAAAGAATGACCGTACCTGAAAAGAAAACATAGTTTAAAAAAAAAACATATACCAAAAATTACCCTTACAAAATCCACATCCCCAGACAAGAAAAAAGACACAAAAACAACTACAAAATGGGATCCCCCGTTGCATCCTGAAAAAAAGTATTAAAAAGGATCATCCCACGATCCCCCTTTCAATCCTGCTCGCTGCCCCAAGAAATGCAAGGCCCTGACTCTTGTCCGCTCATTTCGCGGAGGTCTGCCTATTGCGGACACCACATGCTTCCTTCTAGCAACCCACCTCTGAGAAGGAGCATGGCCAGTCTGCATAGCCAAGCTATGCGGATCAGGAAGTGCCAAGGAGAAGGCCTCTTCCTTTTCTATCTAAACTCTCTACCTTACAAAATGAGAGGGTG